ATCATGATCCTGGAGTCCCAGGATCGAGTCCCACATCGGGCTCCCTGCTCAGCAGGGAGTCTGCTTCTCCCTCTGACCCTCTTCCCTCTCGTGCTATCTCTCATTCTCTCTCTGTCAAATAAATAAATAAAATCTTTAAAAAAACAAAATAAGAAACAGTGTCCAACATGTACTTTGGAAATACTAGTTGGAGTTATTTCATTTGGACACAGCATAAAAGTCATTTCTTTTCTCATGTTAGTTTTGCTAGTTTATCTCATTAAGGTGAGTCCAAATCTCCCTTGAGTTTATTCTTAGTTCCCAAGGTGTGACATTTGTGAAATATCTAAGCAACAATGAAGAGCCAGTCCAGTTGGAGCAACAAGCACAGACAGGTTTTTTGAACCAGACATTTTCTTGAATTGCTGAACGTCAAAGTTGAGACAACTCTGCATTCTTACAAGGTCCAAGGACCATTTTCCTTTAAAGGCAGCCTTCCTTTTCCTTGATAAGCTCTAGGAAACCAGGTTGTATGCTGTCTCCACTATGGATCTAACACCACGTCAGGAGCCCTTGGGGCAGATGTGTGTATGATGGCTCATTCCGAGGTGGCTCTAAATGGCTCTAATCTGCTCCCACTGAAAATTGGTTGAGTGGCCGAACCTTCCAACTCTTCCCTTAGACAGGAGTGTCCAGGGGATTCAGGGTAAAGAAATTCCCACACGCCTGGCTGTGCCCTCCTTCCCCACAGCCCCCACGACAGGTCTGACATGCCCTTCAGCAGTGTGGGTGGGGAAGGGCCAGCCAGCCATGTGTGCCCAGAGGTGAGCTACTCATAATGGGATTGAGTTTTCGAGGGGTGAGGTAGTTGACAGCTACAGGTAGCCAAAGGTGAGACTTCTGAGGGACGGGGGCATCGTATGACTCAAATGTCCTACTGGCCTCACACCTGCACGCCTCCAGGCAGTCTGGATGGGGGGGGGAGAGACCTGAGCTCACACTCCACCAAAGGAAGAATGAACTAGATGTGCCCAGGACATCTTTTATTGGACAGTAAAAAAGTAGGAGCAGGGGGCTGGGTAAACAATGTCTCAGTCCCTTGCCCCCACCAGGCTATCCCCAGTAGCCACTGCTGTTGAAATGACACTTAACTGGGAGACAGCTGGAGTCCAGGTAGGCTGGGAGGTTGAACACAATGGAGAGACTCCACCATGTGTTGAGGGTTTCTGCTCTTTTTTTTTTTTTAATTCTTTCTTTCCTTAAAAAAAAAAATAGCTCATAGACAACAGAGGAAGGAGCAACATAAAAGTTCATATGGAAAAAAACCCTCAACTTTCAGATCTCATGCTCATAAAACCAGATCCAGTTTGAGGGGCTGACAGAGCCCTGGTGTTTTTCACAGCTGACCTTTATGGATTTTCATGATATTTTATAGCCCTGGGGCTTTCTGAGACTCTGCTGGGGGCAAAACCTACATCCTGCAGGCCTTCCTATCTGTGCTCATTCAGCCTCCCAAAAATCAGATTGTTTGGTTTTGCTTTTTGTAGCAACTCTAGCTCATCATTGCGCCATTAAACTTTTAAGGGACTTATATCCTCTCAGTTTGCTTGCCAAAGTGATTTGACTTCAAGTTGTTCCCTGGAAAAGTCAAGAGACGATGTCTCTACACGAGTAAGTAAGTTTAGGAACTGCTACACAGACTTTTCTGGGAGGTTCACAATGCACACCTGCATATTACCAGCAGTGAGAAGGCCTGCAGTTACCAGCTCTTCTCAAACGCACCTGACATCTACACTCCTCACACAAGATATCCTGCAAACACAGCGTTGCAGAAACATTCCTTGAGAAACACCATCCTAAATCCTGCTCGCTCACACAACTAAGCCACGTATTGCCCACCCAGGAGTGTGCTTTGGGGGCTTTGTGAACCCCAGTGCAAGACCCAACATTTATTCCTGGAATGCGTTATCTTGTTACGCTCAGCCCCACCCACCCAGCCTGTCAAGGTCTTTTTGGAACTTGATTCTTAGAACCATATTTGTCTTGGACTCACGTCTCCCTAGCTAATGTTTCCACACACACGTCTGCAGGAAAAGAGTAGCCCATAGGTGAAGCAGTTGCAGCTCTTCAACACGGCTGGTTCGTTGAGTCCTGCATGCACTGCCCCTCTTGGGAGGCATGCTTGGGCAAGATCCTTCCGGAGTATCAAGGATGAATTTTATGTGGTTTCCAAGGAGATGCATTCATTTGAAGTTGTTTTTCCACCGAACAGCCCCAAAGTGAAAAGTGGTTTCGGGGAAGCTGAATTATGACCTAATGTCAGTAGCAGCTGCTGGTAACTACAGGGAAGGGGTGGGAGAGCTGGTGGCTGGGAGTTGGGGGCTCATTAACACCCACTTCTGAAATTAGCAAATCCTTCTAGTACAAGTTTAAAAATAGGAATCTAATGGTTTCTAAAATTAGCAGTCATGGCTCTCCATAAATATTTAGACCTCCAATAAACTTCTGGTCCACTTCCCTAGACTAATGGGGTCAAGCAGGCTTAGCTTTTATGCCACATTCTTGAGGATCAGTGTACTTAATGACTGACCTTGACAAACAAAAGCTTTGAGAAGCCTCAGAATGCCCTGGACCAGGGACAGCCTGCGTGGCCATCAGCCTGGGGACAGCGTCGAGGCAGGACTGGAAGCATCCCAAAGGCCATCTGGAAAAGTCTGCAGCCTCTGGGCTACCTAGAGGAACCAACTGTCCAGGTTGGCCTGGGACTATCCTGATTTCACACTGAAAGCCTCCCAGTCTCCAGCAAACCGGAACGGTTGGTCACCTTGGCCACCTGGCCCACTGCAAAAGGACTGAGACCAATGTTCTGGGACGTCTTTGGGGAGAAGAGTCAACTCCCCAGAAGGCACGGATGATACCCTCCCCCCACCCCCTGCGGTCTTCACACCAGTGTCACTCCTATTTACTTGAGAAAGGTAGCGGTTGAAGGAGGAATTAAACCACAGAAAAGACCAGCCCGGTCAGGCAGGGAACTTCATCCCCTGCACCCAGTTTCCCCGTGTGTAAAACAGGATGAACAGTTGCTGCATCCCTGGATTACTAGGGGGAATAAACTGGCATTGTGTCCAAGAAGCGCCCGGCATCGCTTACACGCCTAGAAATTGGTGCTTTGGGTGTCAGCTCTGCTAGGGTGCTCAGCGCATTGGGGGGTCGCTGAAGCAGCCCTGGCCCACACATCAAAGCGACCCCTGGGTGGGCCCCATCTCTTCCCCGGCAGTGACTGCAGGACATACGGCCCTGCTCTGGGCAACAGGGACTCCCAGGGTCCCCCCACCCCAAGCCCAGCACCCGCACAGAGTGGGCACTTGCTGAGTGGAGGGAAAAATCCTTCGTGGGGAGACAAGGTGCAGGTGGCCAGTCAGTGTGCGGTGTATGTGAAAAACACTGTGTCCTGAACAAATCATCCTTTAAAACGCCTGTGCAAACCCTAATATTGTCCCCACTGCCAGAGGACTGCGTGTCCTGTTTGGCACCACAGTGTTTTGCTGTCCCCTAGTTTTGCTTGTTAACCTGCAGAGAGCTAGGAATCGTTAACCAGCACAGAGCTAGGAATTAGCTACAAGGCTAAGACATCTCGGCCCAGTCCGCAGTTTTAAATCCAGCAAGATGATGGTACAGGCGCCCAGTGGAAACGTCACGTGCTTGTTACTAACCAAATCCTGTACTGTAATTGAGGAGGGGATTTCTCCACCAGGGAGCCAGGGTTCAAGACGGTCGCAGTGAGCGTCTGCATGGCCTGGGTGGGAGAGGCCCTGCCAGCCCACCCTTTGCTCCCTGCAGCCTTCCCACGCTTAACTGAGATGAAGGAAGGAGTGGGTTTTGCCTACTGGGTTCTTCCTTGGGTCGGGATGCTGAAGTGACTTGCCATCAGCAGAGAAGCGTCCCTTTTCTCCCTTCAGGACCAGGAGACACTTTGGGGCCATGGAGTCTAGCTCCCTCATGTTAGAGAAGGAAGCTGAGCCCAGAGAGACACCCCGAGAGTCACCCAGCCGGTGGGGGTGGCAACATGGATTGGTACCCTGCCCCAGGCAAGAAAGAGGAGCCTGTGGGCCTCACTGGGGCATTTCTGCTCACCCGCCCACCTTCCTTCCTCCCTTACTCTTGCCTCGCATCCTTTTCCCTGCTTCTCTCCTTCCTCCCTTCTAATATTTCCTGAGTGTCCCCTATTTGTCTGTCACTACAGAGGTGCTGGGTCCTTGCACCCCAAAAGTGTGCTGGATTTTGCCATGGTTAGAATTCTTTAAACCTCTGAAATGGCTCCGCATTCCTGTCTCTCTGAAAGGCAGGTTGCTACCTGATTCACAACAAGCCCACCCCTCTGCAGAGAAGTGTGAGGGGAGGTGGCCTGCCCGGAGGGGGTGGTCGCTGATTTGTGGTCTGAGCCCTAGCACCTCAGGCGCTGGTGACCTTGGCCGTTCCTGGCCCCTGGCATCCGTGGGCAATCTCTAAGTTCACATCCAGCTCCAGGACTCTGGAAGAAAGCATGAGACCTGCTTGTGGCTGCTAAATCTCTCCCTTCCTGAGAGCACAGGGAAGTCTCCCACTTTCCGAAGTCATTTCATCCTGACGGGCAATCCGGGCTAATTTCTAAGTCAGGGGTAGCACACACCTTAACTCTTGTCAGTCCATGCGTTGGTTTAACAACTGAAGAGATTACTGACCAAACGGAACGCAATGAGATGCAAATGCAGCAGAAGTGTTTCACGGTTGACATAAGGTAGAACTTCCCACACGTGCTTGCTCAGTGCTGACAGATCAGAAGCGGGGGCCGTGGACTGCCCTTCCCCGGGGTCCTTGGGAAGCCCCGGCCAGCCAGATTTCTGCCGTCATCCCTTCCCCTCTGGCCTTCCGGGGAAAAACTGTCTTAGACGGGCAGCTTACTCTTTCACCCAATGAAGTCGCAGAAACTATTTTTAAAAATATGTTAATTGTCATACCAACCGCCTATGGAAAACTCAGTTTTGGCAGCAGAAAGAAATGCATCAAGATAATCTTTAACCCATTTCCTCTCTCTCCCCCCGCCCCGCCTTCCGGCTTCATTAGGACTCCGGCGGGCGCCTGAGCGAGCCCGGCAGCCGGCCACCGGGGCCATGGCCAGCACGGCCGTGCAGCTGCTGGGCTTCCTGCTCTGCTTCCTGGGCCTGGTGGGCACGCTGATCACCACCATCCTGCCGCACTGGCGCCGCACGGCCCACGTGGGCACCAACATCCTGACGGCCGTGTCCTACCTGAAGGGGCTGTGGATGGAGTGCGTGTGGCACAGCACGGGCATCTACCAGTGCCAGATCTACCGCTCGCTGTTGGCGCTGCCCCGGGACCTGCAGGCGGCCCGCGCGCTCATGGTCATCTCGTGCCTGCTGTCGGGCGTGGCCTGCGCCTGCGCCGTGGTGGGCATGAAGTGCACGCGCTGCGCCAAGGGCACGCCCGCCAAGACCACGTTCGCGGTGCTGGGCGGCGCGCTCTTCCTCCTGGCCGGCCTGCTGTGCATGGTGGCGGTCTCCTGGACCACCAACGACGTGGTGCAGAACTTCTACAACCCGCTGCTGCCCAGCGGCATGAAGTTCGAGATCGGGCAGGCCCTGTACCTCGGCTTCATCTCCTCGTCCCTGTCGCTCATCGGTGGCACACTGCTCTGCCTCTCCTGCCAGGACGAGGGGCCCGCCAGACTCTACCAGGCCCAGCCCAGGGCCACCACGGCCACCACCGCACCCGCCTACCAGCCCCCCGCCGCCTTCAAGGACAACCGGGCCCCCTCGGCCACCTCGGCCTCACTCGGCGGGTACAGACTGAACGACTATGTGTGAGTGCCCAGGACCTGGCCCTCCGCCGAGCGCACAGACGCAGCAGAACCCGGACTCGCACCGATGCCGGGGCCCGGCGCAAAGTTGACTCCTGGGCTACTTATTTGTGTCCAGAGGAATAATATGAACAGGAGGGAGTGGTTTTAAAACACAGGGAAGGAGGGAGAAATAAGAGAAGGGGAGAAAAGCTCTATATACCAAAGACTTCATCCTTTCTGTTTTTTTATTTATTATATGTATTTATGTGGGTGATTTAATAACAGCTGAACGAAAAGCAACTTGGGAGTTTGGTCTTTGGGGTTTGTTTGCAATACAGGAATAAACGTTTTGGATGTGGTTGTTAATGAAATGGACAGTATCGTTTTCCGTTTCCAGTCTATTCTGTCGGCTGAGGTCTTGAAACCACAGCACACTGTCAGGGCCCCACGTTGCAAAGCAATGGGGACACCCCGGGAGCGGCCCCAACCCACACATGATGGGAAAATCAGAGGAGGGCCGGGCCGATACTCATCTAAAAGCTGCTTGAGCAACACTACCAAAAACAGTCACTCCAGCTTAAGCAAGAGGCAGGGCAGGCAGTACAGGTCTTCCTAGGGGGAAAGATGGTTGCTGTAAATCCCACAGTAAAGATGTTGTTTTCTACTGGTAGCCCCCACTAGTAAGGAAGCACAAGTCAGCATTCAAAAGACAAAACAAAAGGCGCCTGGTTGCTTGGCTCTCTGGGCCTTGGCAGGAATCCCAGTTAGGAGCACTGCTCGTGCCCGAGGGCCCTGCGGGACACCTCTGGCTTCTCTTCTGGGGACGGAAGCAGGAAGGCAGCTTCCATCAGGGCGGGTACAGAATGTGTTGACTTCTCCTTTAGCTGGAAGGAACTGCTGAGAGGACCAGATGAGCTCTCACTGCTCCAAGAACATTGATGATGCTTTCTGGTTGTGATCTAAATCACATGGTCAGAGAGTCCCGTTAGCCTGGGGACCGTGGTCCTCTTCTCTGTCCGTCCATTTCACAGCCTTGCCCATCATGTGCCTTGTGGTGCCCTGCTCATGCGTCTGTTCCGAACCTCAAGTTCTGAACGTGGAAAGAACATACCCTGTCCTGTGGAAGGGCTGAGCCTGAGACCTAGACACCGGGCAGCAATTACACAGATCCCTCCATTCTCAAGGGGTCTTGGAGAAGGACCACCAGGGCTCCAGCAGCCACTGCATGCAGAGAGGAGAGCCATAGCAGGTCAGCACAGACACGGAGCCAGCTGGCCAGGCTCACTGGTGCGGCGACCAGGACCAGGGGGGTGGAATCCCAGGGAGGCTCCCGGACAAGGGTCGAAGGGCCAGGCAGGCCGCAGCCTGGAGCCCCTGGAGGCAACAAGGCCAGACGTGGATTTATACTCCACTAACTTCATGCTTCCTCCTGACAGGGTCCTCCAGGCCATTGAGATGGTGACAAGAAACCCAGCCACCGTGGGCTTCTCCTGCAGGCAGAGGCTCTCTGCAGTAATGTGTTTCCACTGAGAGACCTCTCTCTGGTTCCTTGAGGCCTTACCAGTCACAGCTCCTAAACTACTCTGTTGCTGAGTTCTGGCAATAGGAAAACCTTCCCGACATGAAGAAGTGGGGGTTAAAGGAGCAGCTCTACACCATTTTTTGTTGACCTTATGACCCCAGGTAACAGGTGCCACCTCTGGAAGGAGGGGGTGCAATACATTTTAGCCTGAGAAGCTAGGAGGGCTGGGATCTGCCATCCCATCCAGGCCAGGGAGTTAGACCAGAAAGGTCATCATTCACGTAGGATGAAACAAGCGATTTTAACCTACTCTTTAAATTATAAAAATAAATCAATCTAAACTAATAAAGAAGGGAAATAAAATCTTCTAAAAACAGAATGACATTCTGTCAGTCCTGCCTTGATGGTCATGGTCTAGAAGATGTCTGGTGAAGTTATTCTAGGTAATAGACCTATTACAAATTAAAGAAAAAATAAAATTGCTTTTTTTCAAATTCTTTCTTGAATTCTGTCACTACTAAAATACATAATGTCCCTATCTCTTACTCAGGGGAAAGACCAATAATAATAGTGCTTACAGTTTACTGTGCACTTACTATGTGCCAGGCATAGTTTGGGTTTACTAATTTGGTCCAATGAGACCCATGAGAACCCAATGACATAAACACTATTCTTAACCCCATTTTACAAAGGAGGAAATTAAAGCACAAAGAGATTAGTTACTTGCCCAGGGCCACAGGGCCAGTGAGTAAAAGACCCAGGATTCAAAGCCAGACAGGTAAGCAGGGGACAAATATGTTCACTCAAATAGCGGCATGACCCACGGTCTAATTACTTTTGTGTCCAGACTATTTCCGAATAATTAAGAGATTATTCCATGCACATATGATTTTTTCTACAATCATCACTCCGTAGAGCTTCTGTTGACTGGGCTCTGGCTGGACTGATGAAACATGATGTCAGACCCAGAGGTCCAAATTTGGATCCCCATAGAAAGCAGGAAGCAACACACAAGAAGGGACACCTGGATGGCTCCATCCTATGGCTGGCCAGCCCAAACAGGAAGTGGGTCTGAACAGGACCTTGATTCCCTCCCTCGAGTAATAGGGTGTAAGAATACAGTTCCCAGTTTCCTCCTTCATTCCCAGGACAAGTACCTCAGGCCACACAAGCCCCCTTTTTGCTACATTACCACCAGGGCCAACAAATAGATGTTGCCTGTTTCTGTTTTTGCCCAAATCTTCAGGACTGCGCAGTCTTAACCAAAGCTGCTTTGACGACAGCATGGTCTCCTTTTGGAGTTACAACACACAACCCCAAATTTCAGAATAAAAAGGAAACATGAGTTACCATTCTTATGGATATAAATTACAACATGACTCTCACGGGATAAATGCCACGTTTCTTTGCTTCTCCAAATCAAACCAAGTTTGGCTCTGATCCAGAAAGGCCTAAAGCTAGCCATGTTTTCTGGTTCCCTCTCCTGCATTTAGGATGTTTCGGGGCCCCAGTGCTAAGGGAGGCCCTGGATTTGTAGGCGTGAAGGCTGGTCTTTAATCCTTAGGGATGGCTTGTTACCCGCTGACTACCGGCGCCAATGTCTTCACAGCGCAGAGCCTCTCGATGCTCCTCCCAGGCCCCCACCCGTTCATCACCACAGTCTTGCACGTCATGTCCCCGGCCCTCCCCAGCCCTGTGGGAGCAGACACTGGAAACCTCCACCCTGTGAACCCTTTTTCCCCAGCCCAGTCTCTGGGAAGCCACTTCCTGAGATGGAGCCACGCCCCTCACCCACTCTGATTGCTTTCATGGGTTTCACCTCTTGAAATCAAAGGCCTCTGACTTCCCCTAGAGAACCCTGCTTTTGTGTCAGCCACTGTCACCCTAAATGGAAACAATTTGAGAACTCTGGCTCACTCACAATCGGTATAACAACCATCTATTACTTTGTGGTGATAAACTGAAGATAGGGCCAGGATTTTCGCCCTCGGTGCCTGGTCCCAAAGTCCCATGCTTGGCCACAATGCCACCCTGCTTCTCCCTACCTTGGTCCCTCCTTGCTTTCTCCCTGTCAGGCAGAAGGAATGGCATGAATCGCAACAATCCGGTCAGGAGATGTGGGTGTGGACCAGGTGGCAGGATGGAAAAGGAAGAAGAGATTAGGATGTGCCTGAAGGCAGAGCCAGTAGGTTTTACTGAGGGCTTGGTTCTGGGTGTGAAAAAAAAAAAAAGGCTTAAAGGATGATACCAAGATTTGGGGCTGGATCAGCTGGAAGAATGGGCTTACAATTTTCTGAAATGAAGACGATTCTGGAAAGAAAAGGTTCTGGTCTGCTAAGGTAGATTAAATCCATTTTCCAGGGGTTTGGTCTGAGCTGCCTCCAGTGGAGATGTGGAGTGGGTCCTTGGATAGACGAAGCTGGGGCTCAGGGAGAGGTCACTTTGGGAGCCCTCAGCCCAGGAACGCCATGTAAACCGGCAGCTAGAAAGGATCACGTTGGAAGTGAACCCAGATGAGGAATCAAAGAGGCCAAAGATGTTCACATTTGGAGGCTGGGAGGATGAGGCAGCTGGATCTAGCCAGCAGCCAGAGGGGTAATGCCCAGGGAGCAAGGAGGACTAAGAAGATGTTCTCGAAGCCAAGGAGAAGGGAATGATCAGCAGCGTTAAATGAACTCCTTGATCTTCACGGTCAGGTGAGCTGGAGGCGCTATGATGGGCTTCATTTGTAGGGGAGGCACTGGACTTAGAAAAGTAAAGGGAAAGCTGAGGGCTGCCAGGTGGAGGCAGCAAGTTACCCGAGTGGAGAGCGGACACACTGAGGTTAGAACACTCTTGTTGTCAGTTCGTAAGTTTGCAATAGCCCGCAAGGAAAATCCGCAGCTCCTGCATAAGCTATAAGGCGGACCTACCATGGAATCCTCCCGAGATAATACATCAGGAGCCTTCTCGCCAGGTTCTGTCCTAGGTTCCCTCAGACTCCACACCACATTAATACTTTCGAATAGAAAGAAAAAACGTAGCTACGTAAGATTTGAAAAGGAAACCAATGAAATTGAAATGTGTTGTCAAAATACTTACAAAGGATGACGTTACTAGTAACATTTATGCTCCGTCATGAATGCACTAAATGACAATACCCAGCAATGAATATTGCAAGGCCAAGGCAATAATGAGCATAAATAGTATTTTAAGAAATTTGCAACAACTGTCATTTGATATGAAAATATTTGTGATTTCCAGTAGTGATAAGTCCCAAGGACGAAAATATAAAATATAAAACCAAAAAAAGTAAAGCAAATTGCTCAGATGACTTAAAGATATGCTTAAAGCCCCTTCACATGAGAACAGTTTGTGCAACAGAAATTCAAATTTCCTTCCGCACATAAGTAATAGTTAACTAAAATAAACCCTAAGAGGGGTGCCTGGTGGCTCAATTGGAATAGAATACCATGCTTCATCTCTAGGTTGTGAGTTCGAGCCCCACACTGGGTGTAGAGATTACGAAAAAATAATAATAGTAAGTTTCAGAAAAATTTT